GTTGAATATTTGTACATGTTTTAATTGTCATAAATATGAAAATGACTGCATCATTTCATGACCATCCATATTTCTTTAAACAGATAATGTCTCTGTACATTCATTTTGTGTGCCTCCCACTTTGAGAACCACATTGCTCAAAAATGCGGGGAAAAAATAAATCTGGGGTACAAAAAAAGAAAATAATAATATTATCTGGTCAGTTAAAGCTGACCACAACAGTCAAGGTCAATAAGTTAAAGCATCGTACCTGGTTACTGACTGGATGACCTTAGAGGACGTGTCCTTGATGTTGGTCAGGAAGCGCTCAGTTCCTCCTCTCAGGATGTCAAAGAGTCCGCTGCTGGCCTGATCGGGATCGTACATTCCTGAAGGTTTGTAAAAAAAAAAAAAAATTCCAGGTAAGGTTTATGCAGGGTAAATAAACACATTCTAAGCCCCGCAGCAGATGGTTGACAGTCAGCGCAGAGATCCTCTTAATGAACACTTCACTGTCTACTGTCAACTGACTGCCAACTGACTGTCAAGCTGGAAGAACAGAATTAAAATCCAAAGTTTACAGATGGAAAACTCCCATTACTGTCATTTGAAGCAAGAAAGTGAATTATTAGTCATTGTGACACAGCACGCCACTGCACACAACAACAGCAGTGTGTGGGGACGGTACCATGCTCAACACGGACACACAAACCTACAACCGCAATAACAGCGCCACCCTCAGGCCAAACTTAGTTCAGCATTCTCATCCATGAAAGAAATCAAACAGCGTCGTCTTACCTGCATTGCTGTGGACATTATGGATCTGCATCGTCGGCTGTGCTCCATTGTTGCCGAACCCGCCGTTCTGCTCCAGTAGCTGCAGACATTCACATCCGTCATACACTGGACGCCAACAGTAGTAGGCACTTAACATGGTGATAAGTAGGTCAAAAAGGGTGAAGACAGAACTGGGGAAAGGATTAGGATTAGATAAGGATTTATCTCAGAAATTGGTCCACAAACTAAGTCCACAGCGTCTGGTCATGTGACGCAATTTGGTACAACACCAGTAAAAAGACCTTTAAAACCTGGATTCATCCTGCAATTAATTAAAATATTGCCCTGTAAAATCTCAGCATTTCGGTGTGTGAAGTGTAGCCTCGATGTTGCTCTCCGTCTTTACGAGACCTACTTCCATCTTCATTCCCTGCCCTCTCTGTGCCCCACCTCTCTGTGTCACTCTAAAAAGCAGCAGTAAATGGTGGTAATGGAGGAGGAGGAGGAGGACGAGGAGGAGGAGGAGACAAAAGTAGATTTCTAATCTTCTTAGGGGGGAACCCCCCCCCCCCCAATCTTAATCAGGAACTGTCAGATGTTCTGCCAGGCTGCACACTGTTCTCAGTCTCAGATTCTGGTGAGAAGTCACACATCTGTCACAGAGCCTGTATTTAGTGATTGAAGTATTTCAAGTGAACATGGAAATACACAGTAACTTGTCCACTTTGGATTTTCAGATATCCCAATATTTCCACTGCCTGGAATTTACTTCTAAGCCATGGGATGTTATTTGTGGCTCATTTACACAGCTGCTAAATCAGATTACGGTGAAAAACTACCTTAGATTAGACGGTGGTTACTAAGCAGCTGTGGCCGACTGATGAGACCAGTGTCTCAGTGACTATGGCTGACGACTAGTCCTCCACTCTCTGTGACTCACTGCTTCCTTGGATCAGTCAGGACCTTGATCCCAGCTGAATGTAGAGGACACAGACTCTTTTGTACCAGCCACTGTGTGTGTCTGTGGATGTTAATTGTGAAGCTGAGCAAGAGTAACCACATCAGTGAGTGGAGTTCAGTGTGGAAATATGGGTGCACATAGAGCTTTGAGTATCATTTTAAAAAGTCTGTCTCTCTTTCTCTCTCTCTCTCTCCACTCACATACAGTAAATATACACATACAAACATATATATACACATACAAACATATATATATATACATACATGTATACACACGTGTATACACACACACACGTGTATACACACACACATGCATACAGGCATGCATGCATACAGGCATACAGGCACATACAGGCATG